AAAAAAAAAAAAAAAAAGTTTAGAGCCAAAAAAGGACACTGGCAAAAGTTCAGTGTTTGATGTATACATTCAGCCGGTTATAGGTCAAAAAAATTTTTTGATGGCTTTATCAAAGAGATAGAAAGAAAACGTTTCTTCTTCTGAACCAACTAAACTACCATTGTTTTTTTAGTATCTGTTCAAAAAAAACAACAACAACAATACTTCAAACTGTATAGTGATTATAAAAAAAAATTCAATTGAATAATAATGAAATAAATGCACATAGGTTGCTATTTATTACTGATACAGATTCGTCTCAAGACCCTAAATTTACTTGAAAAAAAAATGAACGATACTATTAACCAAATACAATTCTAATACACTTTTTCCGTTTACTCCTCACAAATAACTGTTACTGTCACTGTTCTGTCATTACTGTTTTACCTTCCCTAAAAACTGCAAATATTTATCTTCCAAAATTAATTGTTGAAACTGATGATCATAACCTATCCAGAATTGATCAGAAGACAGCAGTTTACAAAAACATTGGCATCAAAAAATACAGATGCTGATCTTTGATAATCAAACCTTTGTGGAACTATCGGTAAACATTTTGCTAACAAATTCTCTATGACCATTTGACCAATTTTAAACCGTTTTGAAAAGCAACTACAATTACTACTTTTTCAATTCAACTAATCTTTTAATAATTTAAAGACCAAAAAAAATTAGAGTATCGTCATTTAGCAAAAAAAAAAAAAAAAATGAGACTTGTTATTTATTCTAACATTTGCCAATCTACTGTACATTATTCATACATAATAATGCTCTAATGTAATTGTATAGTACCTTATTGTATGAGAAAAAAAGTTAAGTGTCTCAAATACTTGGCCAATGTTTGCTATATTGCTTTTTACATTCTAATAAATACCCAAACAAGCTGAAAAACTAACGTATCTGTACTTGACAAAGTCGTAATAACCACAATAGATGTCAGCATAAGCAGTGTAGAAATGTAGAAATTTTTGTTTCAGAAATAAAACAAAAAAAAAAAAAAAAAGGACGTTTCAGCAAAGGAATTTGCTCATTATTTTGATTGTATCATTGAGCGGCGGGAGGGGGAAGGGGATGGGGAGGAGGGGGGGGGGAAAGAAAAGAAAAACAGAATATTTTCTAAAATGTCAACAGCATTTGTTCAGTAAGGTTCTACAAACACATTCCTTCTGTTTTTCATCTTCATCATCTTCCCTTTTTTTTTTTTTTTCTCATCCTTCATTGATATGTGACTTTTACTCCTACTATAAGCATAAGAAAAAAAACCACCATTTTAAATGACTGATTATAGGAAAAATGTTATAATGCAACTAAAACAAAAGACGATAAAAGAAAGCGATCTTAAACATCCATTCACTTATCTTCCATAAAAATCGGAAAAATTGTGTATGTTTGAAATTAATCATTCTTCCATGAACTCCATGAGTTTTTTTGAAGTTAAAGACTTGTTTTCTCTTTCTTTCATTTTTTGCCTTTCAATCACATGAACCTATTGTTAATACTTCAAAAGCTATAAAATATATGCAAATGTACATGAAAAAAAAAAAAAAGAAATAAAATTCAAAAAAAAAAAGAGAAAAAAA